GTAGTCAAGCACTGGAATGGGCTGCCCAGGGAGGTGGTGGAGTCACCGACTCTGGAGGTGGTCAAGGAATGTTTAGATTTAGTGTTGAGGGACATGGTTTAGTGAGTACTATTGGTGATAGGTGGATGGTTGGACTGGATGATGATGTAGGTCTTTTCCAACCTTGGTGATTCTATGATCAAGTTTCAACCCCCCTGCTATGTGTAGGATAGTCAACCATTAGACTAGGCTGCCCTGAGCCACATCCAGCCTGATCTTGAATGCCTCCAGGGATGGGACATCCACAACCTCTTTGGGCAACCTGTTCCAGTGCGTCACCACCCCTCTAAGTGAAAAACTTCCTCCTAATGTCTAATCTAAACCTTCCCTGTGTCTAAAACCATTCCCCCTTGTCCTACCACTATCCACCCTCGTAAACAGGCGTGGATAGCAATAAGACAAAGGTGAATGGTCCATTTCATCACCTTTCCAAGTATTTGAGATGAGGCTGACTGGCCTATAGTTCCCTAGATCCTCTTTCTTGACCTTTTTGAAGACTGGGGTGACTTCTACTTTCTTCCAGTCCGCAGGCACCTCTTCTGATTGCCATGACCTTTCAAAGATGATTGAGAATGGCCTAGTATTGATGTCCACCAGCTCTCTCAGCACTCATTAGTGCACCCCATCAAGGTCCATGGGCTTGTGAATGTCAGATTTGTGTGGATGATTTCTAACACAGTCCTCCTCAACCAGGGAAAGTGCCTCCTTTCTCCAGATTTTCTGCTGAATCTCCTAGGTCAGGGACTCCTGAGGACTGGCCATGGTGGTGAAGACTGAAGCAAGGAAAGCATTTAGTATCTCTGCTTTCTGTGTATCCTCTGTCAACAGGGTTCCTGCCCTATTCAGTAACAGAGTTAATTTTTTAACTAGTTTTTCATTCATTATTTATGTGTTTGAAAAAGCTGTTTTTGTCCTTGACATCTCTAGCTAGATTTAATTCCATATGGGCCTTGGCCTTCCTCATCACGTTTTTCTCTGACAATGTCCCTGTATTCATCCCATGTAGCATGTCCCTATTTCCACTACCTATACATTTCCAGCTTATGTTTGAGCTTTGTCAGGAGTTCCATATACTCATTTAAAGCTCATTAGTTCTTTTCCCATTCCCAATGCAGTTGATTTATTACTGATTTAAAACAGTATTTTGCATATTTGAAGGCTGTTGTCGCATTTCCAGTAAGTTTTCCATACTTCAGACTAAATAAACACAATTTTTCAGTCTTTCCTGAGAAGTCATGCATTTTTAGGTCTTTGTCTTTTTTGTTTTTCTCTTCTGGAATTCTCCAACTCTTCCAGAAGTTTTGAAGGGTGTTGTCCAAAGCTGGTCACACAGCCCCTTTGAGCTTTAAAAAAGCTGAATAGGAGCCTTTTACGTTTATGGCCAAATGGAAATTCACAAAGTCCAACTGTAACGTCAAGGGAGATGAGTTCTTGTGATCACATGCAAGTTCAAATTCCATTCGTATAACTCTACTTCCCTCAGCATGCTGTCAAACAATCTTATTGAAACACAGCACATAACTAACTACTTAGCTACTTAAATGGAAAATAAATATTTCTGTTTTGTTCAATAGTCAGGAATGTTTCTGTTAAAATAAGCATTTCAAAATGTTGATAATTAATGTGTTTTTTATTTTTTTATTTTTTTCAGACATTTCTCTTTTTGAGCTAGCAGACATCAGAATACATTTCATTCATAATACATCGTAAATCTGCATTTTGTACATCTGTATCCCATTCTCTACTTTTGTATATTTAAGTCAATTATATCCAGTTTAGACTTGCTTCAAAACATTTGGCATAGGATGGAATCAGAGAAAGACTCCTTATAGTGTATACTAGTTTGTTCTTTGGTTTCAGAATGACATTACTGAGATCAGCAACTTCTGAGCTTGAGGTTCTTTGATCTATTGATTTTGTATATTGAATTATGTGGAGCGTATGTATAGACACAACTATAAACACTAGTTCTCCCGGTAAGAAGCATGAAATAGAGTATTCAGTGCCATTTGAGAGTGATCTTGAGATACTAGAGCTGGCTACAGAATTAGCTCTGTCATTTTTTTCTTGTATAACTTGTATTTTGAAGGCTTTATGATATAATTTGAAGAGTAAACAACTGCTCAAGTTGGTGTGAACTCAACAATTTGTTCCATGCTCAAGGAATGAATGGGGTCCACTAAAGATTACAGTGGGGTTGGTTTGATAGGTCTGTGGGATATCCAAATAAATGTTTGCATAGACTAATTTGTTTTGAAGAATAAATTTCAACAGTAAAAGATTTGTTTGTCCCTACCTATTTTCAATTCTAGTTTTTCTAAGAAATTGATATTATAAATACTGAAGTTAATGCATGGTTAGTCGTATGTATAATGACATTTTTTTGGTAAGATCTACTGTTTCTCTGGCGTCTTATTTTCTGGGGGTAGTATTTTACTTGTTAAGTACTTCCAAGTTAATAGGATGTCCTGCAAATTACAGCTCATGTTTGTAAGTATGAGAAAATACAGCTCTTTGACTCACCATTTCTCTCATTTGTATATTTTTTAAATGTGAATCCAGTGTTTATGATGAAGTCTGAAATCTTAGCCTCAGATTCTGAAATACCGTAATTAAGGGACAGGAATGCTCAGGTTGTCACAGATCTCATGCTTACATTGGCATTCCTCAACCTGTATTTCAAGGGGCTACCTTTGTGAATAGAAAACAACTTCAGTTTCTTCAGCTGACCAGCCAGGGCTGGGAGTGGTGCTCAGAGAATTTTTGATTAAAGCCCTGCTCAACTTAGGACAAACTAAATACCTGTTGTAGCCATCCAGAACTTGCACTGAAAAGTTGCTTAGTGGTCAGTTTCAGAACTGTTTTCCTTGTGTTTGTGTCCATAGTTACAAATGTTTGCATGTAACATCAGATACAAACATGACCTTCAGAAATTGCCTTCATTTCCAAAATCATATTTTGCTGGAAGAATCTGTGCACTCAAATATGCTGTGTTTGCACTCTGCAATTTGAAATGCACACAGCCAGCACAGTCCAATTAACCGTGAAGGAGGCTGAAGGTTTGAACCTCGCTCTAAGAAATGGCCATTAGCAGATTACACTGTTTGATTGCTTATGTTAGAATATATTAAAAATGTGACACTTAAGGATTGCACACACAGGATTTTCTCAAAATTGCAGGAAAAATAGTGTTGTTGGTTGGGGTTTTTTTATTTTTATTTTTTTAAACTGGACATCTGGCACTTCCAGATGATGTCATCTTATTCAGAAGCGTTGGCCGGATAAGTAGTAAATGGTTGACTTAATTTATACTGTAGTCTGGTTGTTCTGTCATGAATAGAAACTAAAGCTACTGAAAAAATATTTAGTTTGCTTTCTTGCTTTGAAATACCAAAGAATAAAGGTAACCAATAGAAGGGGTCTTTATGTTTCAGACAAATTTCATAGATTTTTACAAGAAAATTTCGAGAGATTTTAAGTTGATCTTTTGCCACCTTGAATTCCCTGTTTTTTCATATGTAAAACTCATACATCCTATATTTTCTTGTGTAAATATTTTGTGCAGGACTTGTGCCCCTAGATATTTCTAAACAATTAGAAATAGGTGCAAGTGTTTATTTTCAGTATTTTAAACAAACAAAAAAATTTTTTTCCTATGACTTTTTCTTTAAAATGTTTGATGCAGACATTTGGAAGCAAAAATGCTATTGGTTGTTTGGAGGTTATTGATGGGCTAGTCTAACAGTTCAATGGTTTTGCTTTCCAGTAGTGGTATCCTTCCCTTACCTATAGCCAGCAGATATGATGGCATTTGATAAGTATCTGAAAACTGATTTCACAACCTGTAATTTTATGTCTGCTTGGATGGAAAATAATTGAATTTGATCCCTTTAAACTTATTTACAATTTGATAGATGGCTGTAAATGCCCATCGTCCCCTATAATTATGAAAATTGGTTGAAGTTCAGTAGTTTCATTGCCTTGATACGCTCTTCCTTTTGTCCCCCACTTCCCAGTGCTTCCCCCCCACCTCCAGTTAGGAGTTAACAGAGTAGCACTAGGAAGAAAGCTGCATCTCTTTGTTCCTGACTGTGTTTTGTGTGGCTTTAATGAGAGAAAGAAGCCATAATTTCCAGCCTGTTCTGTCTGAATTCCCCCAGGAAGGCATCAGACAGAAGATAATGTCTGAATTCAGAAATTTCAAGGCCAGGAGACATTGTTATGACCATCCACTAGAAAGCAGTATTTGTATGCAAAATTCCCAGTGTTTGCCATCTTTCTTGCTTTGTCTGACACAGAGAATAATAGAAGAAAATACAAAATGAAATGCTCCAAATGTGGGATAGAATTTTCAGTTATGATCTTTCAGCTTTCAATTATTCTTAAAATGCTTCATAGAAAATGTTTTCCTAAAATCATTCTCATCATTTTTCACTATAAATGACTGTGTCATCAATGAATTCCAGAAAAGCATAGGTTATAATTTAACCTGTTTTGAGGAACTAATTAAATAAATACTAAATGAAGTTTAATACAAATATGGATACTATACAGATGGAATATCTGCCTGTAACACATTTTATTTTATATTTAGTTATATAATACTTACATAAAGTAGGTATGATAAATAAAAGTTGATTAATTTTCAAATTAGCATAATTAAAATTAATCAGCATAAACATATTTGAATATTTCTCATTATGTAAGAGTATTATATTGTCCCCAGAAACTGAGGTTGAGAATAGGCTGAAGCAAATTGTGCTATAAATTTTATGTTTCATACGAAGACAACAAGAATTTGTAGAGATGCAACATGAAATAATTTGGTGTGTGAATAATCATTCATATATGCAGTTGCTAAAGAAAGAAAAACCTTTGCTACTGAAGGGTGTTTTTCTGGAACATTTTAAATGCTTTTTAGTGTTTGATCTGTTGTAATACTTATATTCATTGTATTTTAGATATCTGATATCCATGTTACTGGAGAGTCAGAGGACATGTCTGCTAAAGAGAGATTGCTCCTGTGGTCACAGCAGACAACTGAGGGTTATGCTGGAATCCGTTGTGAAAATTTCACTACCTGCTGGCGAGATGGAAGATTATTTAATGCCATCATTCATAAATACAGGTAAGTGCTCTATTGAGAAATGTCAATTACGGCATTGTAATCTACGTGGAGAGACTCTGTGGTTATCTTGCCTATAAATAGCACTGCAGCTGTAGAGATGACACTAGCTCTTTCTGGGCAGTCCTTTGCTTCTTGGAGACATAAGATGCCTTATTAGCCCTTTTGTGTCCCTCATTCCTCAGAGGAGAGACCCCATGAAACCTGTGCATCCTTCAAGGGTCACCTCCAAGCTGTTGAGAAGAGTGCACCTGAAGTTCTAGTTCCCTGTCTTCTTCACATTCCCTTTGGACATACATCAGTGTACAGGCAGGGTCAAGTCAGAGCTAAACTGTGCTCTCTAAATCTGCAGTCCAAATCTGCACTGCTGATTATGTCCCTCAACTACTGCATTACCTGAGATATGCCTAATTCCCCACATTCTTCGCTGTTTGACTTCACTGATTCTCTGGAACTGAGAACTTCTGCAGTTCCTCTGCTTGGAGCTGAGATGTACTCTGTGCCTTCTGGAAAACCACAGGGCATTCTCATGGAAAATGAGACCAGTTCACTTGAGCGTTCCCAGAATTAGGAGGGCACTGTTCTTGCTCTCTCTTTCTATGTTTTTGTGACCACACAGCTTAGCACTGATAAAACCATTGATGACTTCAGGATACACTAGATTTACTTACTTAAAATCCACTTGAAGATGTCTACTGATGAGATCTAGTCTAATTCTAGATTGTAATTAAGATCAGGGATCTCTTGATAAAATTGACTTTGGCATCAGAGCTCAGCAGAAGAACAAGATTTAAGATCAGCACTTTGCTCAACCTTGCCTATTGTTTGATGTCTCTCTGTATTTTATTGCTCCTATTTTGAACATGGAGGTTTGTAGGTTTGTTTTTTTATGGAACGACACAGAGAGGAGAATCTTCTTGCCATTGGGCTAATTAGTGTGAACTGACTTGTCTCTCACTTACAAGCCTTGCAAATTCTAGATTATATTACAGCATGAGTGAAGAGTTTATGTGGTATGCTTTGAGGTATATCATGAGGAAGTTTGAAGGTATGTGATTTTCTTGGTATAATACTGAAGGAGAGTCCTAAATAAGGCACATTAAATTTGTCCCTTTCTATGCAGATCATCTGTTTTTGGGAGCATTTCCTCTTGTGAAACCACTTATCACAGAAAGAAATCTAGGAAGAAGCAAGCATGCATGCAGTACAGGGACTAGAACAGTGAAGTGAAATGGGAGGCAAATGAGTCAGGCAGATACGTTCAGCTCCCCAAGCAGTGCATAGAAAGGCCATAAGCATGAAAGATGCTCTGAGTCCCAGAGAAGATAGCTGTGACAGTTCATAACTTTAAGGCAACATGAAGTTGCATCTGAATCAATGAATTGTTTTTCTGACTAATGCTTCTGTACTGGATAGCCAATGAGGGAGGAGGTGCATGCCAACAAGAAAGTCTTCTTTAGTAAGGTTGGCAAGGCAAAGGGAAATAACTGGCAAAGGACTGGGCTGTTTTGTTTTTGGTTTTTTACTTCAGGATAGAACAGCTAAAAAAATTAAAACAGCACAGATGAGAATTTGAAAAAAATGAACTGTTTGAAAGACACAAAGGGAGAGGGAGGAAAAAAAAAAAGAAAAGAACATACAAGATGCAATAATACAAAATATTTCTTAGATCTTTTTCAGAGGCTTGTGCCAGGGCTTCTTTTGGTGAACAGCATGGTCCTTACATCTTAGCAACTTGTAGTTGTTGTACAGATCAGTTAAAAACTAGACTTCTGTCCTCTGGCTGTGCAATTGTTAATGTTCTGGGGTATTACTAACTACCTGCAGTTGCTCTGTTAAAGTGCTGTTTTTGGCAGTGCTCTGACAGTTTCATTCATGGCTTTTTGGCTAGGAAACAGGCACCTATGACATGAGTGCTTTGCATAAAGCAGATAATTCAATGGCTGAGGTTCACTGTCTCCTGAGTAAGTGCAGAGTTCCCCTTTTATGTGCTTCTATGCCTGTTTCCATTTAGCTCATCCTGTTCCTGTAAACATACATGTTTAAAATCTTTATCTGATGTTTTTTTGCTTTGAGAGGTCATAGTTCTTGAGCTTCGTCACCTCACTGATGAAATCAATGAAATTCTTCCACTGATTTCATTGAGCTTCTATGTTGTTTTTTTTCCTTTTCAATTTTGTGCCATTTAAATAGAGATAATAATTTCCAGCTATTGCTCACAAGATTGGAACGGTCCTTCCAAACAGTTGCCTGATATTTTTAACTACAGTGTTTTATTCCAGAGAACAAAAATAAACTTAGCTTATGCTCATATTGGTAAGTAGGTTAAATACTAACAGAATGCACATATTTCTGGCCATGGCTCTCCATATGCTCAGTTTGTCTGTTTTAGTAGCTCCCAGACTCCATTCTGCAGAGCAGAGGTGTTCTCAGAAGTTAGGCTGTATGTCTGCAAATGCTGCTGGCTGGCATGCTCCAGGGCAGAGAAGCTCCAGACACCAGCATGTGCTGCGGACTGTGCAGCTGGAAAGCAGTGTGGCAGAAAGTGACCCAGGAGTCCTGGTGGACACCATCTTGAATGTGAGCCAGCAGCAGGCCTTGCAGCGATGAAGGCTAATGGTGTCCTGGTCTGCTTTAGGCAGCATTGCCAGCAAGTTAAACGAGGTGATTTCTTCCCTTTACGCAGTACGGGTGAGGCCACAGTGCTGGGCTTCCCTGTACAAGAGAGACATGGGCATACTTGAGAGAGATGTATGAAGGGTCACAAAAGCGATTAAGAGGCTAAAGCAACTCCCCTGTGAGGAAAGGGTGAGAGATCTGGGACTGTTCAGCTTAGAGGAGGCTCAGGGGCATCTTATCAATGTCTACAAATAGCTGAAGGGAGGGTGCAGAGAACACAGTTAGGCTCTTTTCAGTGGTGCCCAGTGACAAGTGGCAGTAGGCACAGACTGAAACAAGAGGTGCTGTCTGACCATCAGGAAACACTTCTGTGCTGTGGGGTGGCTGAGCATTGGCACAGGTTGCCTAGAGGCTGTAGAGTCTCCTTCTTGGAGATGTCCAAAAGCTGCACCTTGTTCTGGGTAACCTGCTTGGGCACAGGAGGTTTGGACAGGATGACCTTTTGAGCTCCCTTCTATCCTTATCTGTGCTGTGATTTTCTGGCCCAGACGGTGGTGTGGATGTGGTGTAGCCACCTCAGAGCATGCCTGTGGGTGTGAAGTGCTCTGAGGAGCACGTGTGCCAGTCACGGTGCAACGTGGCAACTCCTCCTGTGCCAGGTATGCTGTGCTCATCAGAGATGCCTTTGCTTTATGAAAATACCACACAGCTGCCCCACCCTGGGCCAGGAGGAATGCCAGCTTACAGCAAGAACTGAATGAATAAACAGGGATAGGGCTCCTCAGCGGGAATACAGCTGCCAGCCAGTCACAGAGTCACTGAATCACCAAAGTTGGAAAAGACCTCCAAGATAATCCGGTACAACCATCCACCTACCATCAATATTTCCCCACTAAACCATGCCCCCAGTACCACATTCAAACATATTTTTGAACACAAAGTTGTGCTCACAGCCCTGACACCATGGCCGATGGGTCTTTCCTGGATGTGCTGTTCAGAGCATGAACTATGTGGGTCCAGTATGATCCTGCAAGTGGCTAAGAGATGTCACTGTCTAGCTCTAGACAACAGTGTATTGGAATAGCAGATTATAATTATAAATGAACGTATGCATGAATTTCCAGTGAGTTTGCAATCTTCTTTAAATAATAAGAAAATAATTATATGAATGACAGAAATGAGGGGAAAAATGTTTTTATGTGAGATATTTGGTCTGTAATATAACTAATACGTGATTTGTGTAAGAAGGTTGATCATGTTTTCAGAATGTTCCAGCAGTCTGTGCTTATAGGGTAAGATGGAAGATTGCTCTTCTGAACTTCCGAAGAGTGTGTAAAACCTCAATTTTAAAACATTCTGTAAGTGATTACAGAATGTTTATGTTACATTTGGATTTTGTGTTAATGGACATGGTTTAGTGAGTAGTATTGGTGACAGGTGATGGTTGGACTGGATGATCTTAAAGGTCTTTCCCAACCTTGGTGATTCTGTGATTCTGCGATTCTGCAATTAAATGCCTGGGAAATTAATTGGGCTCCATGCCAGCTTCAAGAGCTGGCTCTGAGAGCTCTGCTAAGGCCCTCAATTTTGCTTTTCATAGTTATTCCGTGTGAATATTTGTTTTTATACGGACAGAACAAATCTAACTATCAACTTAAAAAGTCAGTTTTATTACTGGACTTTATGATGCTTGTTAATTACACACTTTTTTTAAAATATATCAGTTTTCAGACTGTTATTGAACTCCACATCATTCTTTGAATGTGTGATCAAGTCCATTATGAAGGGTTACACATAAGCCCGGCTTAATTTTTCACTTAAGACATGTTATTTGCTTCAGCGTGTTGTGTTGGAAGAAATGTGACTTTAGGCAGTTTAAAAAGTACTTGTTGTTTCTTTCATGACATGATATCATACATAGCAAAAACCAGTAAGCCAGACTTCAAAGTTGGAGACTGACTTTAATCAGCTCATAATGCCCAGGTTTTTCCAGAGATATTGCCACATGCATGCCTGGGTCTTAGTGTTGCATCTCTAGACAGTAGACTGTACTTCAGGTGAATGTGCTTGATTTGTGTTTCCATTTTCTTATGTATGTACTTTTCTCCCAGGAAGAAGAAATGCTCATTTTGTAGAACTATGTCCTGTTGATAAAATGTATAGAAACAGTTGATATCTACAGATAATGAATGCTACTCCTATTTCATTAAGAGTTGTATACCAGCTTGGAGCGAGCTAATAATCTTAATTACAGATCTACATTACACTTCAAAGACACATTTGTTTTAAAACAAAGGACTTTCTAATGAAAAATTACCAAGAGTGACATCAAAGTAATAAGCTGCTTGTTCTTTTTTTTTCAACCTCAAACATACCTGAGCTGC